TTTAAATTAATTATTAATTTAATTAATTATATATATATATATATATATATATAAATATAAACTATCGATCTTTAGTATGTAAATATTTGAATGCATTACATAAATGATTAAAATTAAAATAAAATTATAAAAATAATTATATATATAATAATCTTTTCTAATTTAATATATATACTATATTATCAATTTTTTTTTGAAAAATATTTGTAAAAAAAGAACATTTTTAATAATCGTAAAAATTTAAATTTAATTGCTTTGATAATTTTTAATGTTAATAAGAAGAAAAATTTGCAATTTTATTTATCAATCTTTTCACTTTAACTCTATAAAACTGTAATTATTACTATAACTATATTTATTAAAATAGTGATAATTAATAAAATTATCATTTAATATTACTTTAACAAAATAATTATAATCTTTATTAAAAATGAAATTTAAACATTTTAATGATGTAAAAATTTTTGTATATATCTTAGATCCAAATTCTTGAAGAAATTACACTCTTTACTTTGTATTGCAACACTACTTTTTGATTGAAAAATATGAATATATTAATGTTTTGAAATGTTATTGAAATGACTGCTTAATTGTGATGATATCTTCTAAATATATTTTATAACTGTATATTTTAACTGATGAGCTTGTGAGAAGATTTTTTATTTTTGAGAATCGCGAAAAAATTATATAAATGAGTCTAGTTAGAACAAATTACGTCCGTTCCATGCGGTACGACGGTGAATCGAATACTCAGGGCTGGTTGCCTACTCAACTCACGATCCCCTCGCGTCTTACGTAGCCGCGCTGTTTCCTGCTCTCTTCCCCTTCCATTAGACACATTGCTTCCTACCAGACCGATGCTCGTTTCTCTCTTTTTCTCTTGTGTGTGACGTGTTATGCTGTAGTGTTGGACAGTTACGTGCCATAGCTAACGTGTATGTAAATGTTTCTCGCAGATGAACTCAACGCGACTGTTGGTGACCTGATAGCGAACATGACTTACAGATACTATATACTGATGATCGTGGAAGAGAATGAACGATTTGCAAGCATCGCGTGCTTGAAGTGTTGGCTGAGCGATTGTTATTTTCATTGATTGCTGAATCGATTCGTCGCGAGACTAGGTGTTCGATAATTTTAAAAAAGTATGTGGGCTATTACTATTGCTAATTTGAAGATGAAACTAATAAAAAAATTATTGATAAAATTTGACATATTCTATGATGAATATGTTAGTTTGTATGAGAAATGATTGAGAATTGTTTATCGTAATTTTGTTTACAAATTTTATTTATATTTTCAAATTAGAAAATTATTAAAAATAGAAATTAAAAATACGAATTATAAGTATATATTTTTTTATGTTAATTTAATAGTTTATTTAATTATAAGTAATAAATTTAAAAATTTGAAATTAAATTAGAAAATTAAAATTAGAATTAAAAATAAATATATATATTGCACATGTTCTTTTATTCCTTTAGTTTGGGTTTTCTAAATATAACTAACACTAAATTAGTTTCAGTTCGAAATTTGCAGCGTAAATGTATATCTATGTTATACCATGAATAACCATAAATTAAATAAACTGCATAAATATTTAAAACTTGTTTCAAAAGCATTTCCAATTATACAAGTATTACAATAATAATAATTAAATCATTGAAACATGATACAAAAAAAGCTTTTGTTTTGTTGTAAGATAGTCTTAAAATATTCTTTAAATAATTTTTGACACATTTTTATAATCTAATTGAATATACATTTTTTATCAATAGAAGTTTAAATTACTCACATATTATTTTATTACAGTTGACATTTTCATAATTTTTTTATACATTACATTAGCGAAAAAAACTTAATTTAAGTCAATAAAGTTTATTCAAATATATATTAAATAATGATTATTACTATTGATAATTTCATTTTTGATTGTTAATCAACAATTATTCAAATATAATTTCGAAAAAGTTAATTTTAACGTGGAATTTTTTTTTAACTTTAACAATTTAATTTTCTTCAAATAAACAATAATTTTCGCACATTCATAATTATAAATTATTATGATTGCTTATGTTTCGTTGTCAGAAATGTTTAATTTATTTTCTTAATTTCTTTAATTATAAATTATATTTACAAAGAAGATTTTGATTACTGAATGGGAACTTAATTAATTATAATTCAAATATTTCTTGCATTGAACAAATATTTATGCGATAATTCTAACAGAAGAACAACAATTTCATATTTAATTTTAGACTATTTATATTAGAAAATATAGAATAACATTTATGTTTATAAAAGTATATCTTATGAATATTTTTAAGTATTTATTTGAAGTTTTTATTTGAAAATAAATTTTGTACTTACTTAGCAACTGTAATCCAAACATCAAAATGAATCCAAATAGAATCGATAAATATTGATTGAATCCATTTCTATGTTCTTGAAGAATTTCGAAAAATACTACATACAATAGAGTACCAGAAGCCAAACCCTATATTAATTATATATCATTATATTAATTATATATATAATTATATGTTATATATATTAAATATATATATGTAAACTATATATATATTTATATTATTTTTATTTTCTATATGTATTTAATTAACATATTTAATTGATTTGATCCAAGAAGAAAAGTATAAAAAAAAAAGTATAAAAGTATAAAAATTTTATATATACCTGTAATAGTACCGGTAATATGCCACTGGTGGCGGCACTTTCGCCACCAACTAGAAAAATTCCTATGGCAATTCCTAGAGGAGAAACAATTGCAAATGTGCAGATATAGATTATCGAAAGATATCGTCTAGTGTTATAAGTAATTAATTCTACACCAATACAAAATGCTATCACAAATTTGTGAGCCGCTACTGCTGCAAACATGTACCTGAAAATAAAAACGAAAATGAAAACGAAATCAATACTTTAATTAAAATATATTATTATAAATTTTTGTTTTTATAAATCTTTCTTTTGCAAATGTTAATATGTTATTTATTTATGAATTGATGTTTAATATTATTTATTACGATTTACAATTTTCAAATAAAGAAAACATATTATTGAATATATATTTTATTAATTTTTGCGAAGTTATTTTTGATTTGTTCATCTTAACAATTAATGATAATTATATCGACGATTATTAAATAAAAAAAATTAGAAGTTTGAATGTATTAGATTGAATGTATTAGATCTTTGATCAAATTTGAAAGAAAAAAAGAATCTTAATTTTTAAATTAGAACATTATTAACATTTATGTAGCAATATAATTTGTTGTATAATCATTGATGATTCAAATAGATCTGCTTCAAACATTTTTTTTTGAAATTTTTGGTTTAAATTCTCTCTGTTCTCTCTTTTCTCTGTTAATTTTTTTTTAATTTAAATAAAAATAAAGATTTTTAAATATCCAAACAATATTACAAATTTTAATATTGTATTTTATTTCTATTTCATTGTTTATTAAAAAACAAACATACCAAACATAAGAGGCTGAACTTTCTAATCCAATGGCAAGTCCTTCAAATAATTCATGTACAGATAAACCCAAAACAATTAATAATCCTCTTAATGAACTTATGACAAAGTCATGTTTTTCATCTATGACTGGTAAGTGATGCGAATGACCATGATCGTTGCTACGACATATATATTTTCATTCCATGTTCTATTTAATTTGAAATAAAATGATTGTTAGATATTTCTTACTTACTAATGTGAATGTCCATTAACAAAATTCGGCAAAGTTTCTCCATTTTCGACTAATTCATTGGTACTTCTGCTAACATCTTTCTTTGAAAATTCTTCTTTGTGTGCTTTTTTCTTTCGCAAATATGAATGTACTGATTCTTCGACCAAATACATAATAAAAAAACTAAGAAACATATATAATATTATATTAAACATATATAATATAATATAATATTAAATTTTTGTTTATATATTATATTTATATTATTTTATATTATTTTTATAAATTTTAGAATCTCTCTTAAATATAATAAAAATAAATAAATTAATAAAAATTAATAATTAAATTAATAATTAAATGAATTAAAAAAAATTAAAAAATTAATTTTATTTTATTCACCCAATACAAGTAAGCATTTCGGATAAAGAAAAACTAAATTCTGGAAGTTTTCCTTCTTCTGTAAGATGTTGCAGTCCTTCCTTTACTTCCGGTAATAAATGAAGAAACATTGTGCAAAAAAGAACACCACCACCGAATCCAAGAAGAAAGCTTACTAATTTTGTTGACCTATAGCAATACAGAAAATCAATCTTTAATACTAACCTATCATCTTCACTTACAATCAATCTTTAATAATACTAACTTATCAATTCATCTTTTCGATTTTTATTTTATTTATGTTTTTATATTTATATATTACTTCATAGAGTTTTTTACTAGTTTTGATAAGTATTATAATACATGTTATGTTATAATCAAATTGATAAAATTTCGAAGTCTTAAACATTTATTTTATAAATAATGTGAATCTGACATTTGTTTTGTCTTTTTAATTTTTTTTAATTTGATTAAGATTTATGTTTACAACAAAGTAGAAATATAAATAAACAATTTGAATTAATTTAATTATTAATGAGTAAAAAAGATTACAAAATAAAAAATTTTTTTATTGTGTAATTATGTAATTTATTATTAATTATGTTAATACCTAGGATTCTCAGTATTGGAAATATTCCATTTTAAGCACTTTGCTATTTGCATTGGTAAAATACCCATGCAGGTGCTTACTGTGCATAAAATAATCATTGTGATTCCTTTTGCGATTAGTACATTCGATATACTTTCATCATTGTGATGATGTTTTTCATATTCTTCGTCATGCGGATGGAAAGTTGTCGTCAGTGTTTGAATAAATTTATCTTCTAACAGAGACATGATTTTCCTTTATCGACAACCGAGATTCTAGATATTAGATATATAAAATTAGATATAATTTATGTATGCTGAGTAAAATTTAAAATTTTAATTAATTTAATAATAAATATAATAAAACAACAATAAAATTTCAATTATTAATGTGGAATTTTTCATATTTTATGATGTCAATTACAATTTAAATTTAAAAAATTTTTTAAATTATAAAAAATTTTTGTATATAAAAAAATATTAATATATAGAGTGGAAAAATGTAGGACTCCTTTGAAAGGTGGATTTTAGATATCAAAACGATGAAAAAAGTTTATATACACATATGTATACACATATTCGATTAACGAATTAACGAATTATAAGTATTTTAAGTTTATATTAAATAAAGTGAGAGAATGTTCAGCTGGATGCGCGACAATATTGTATTGCAATAACTCTTGCATAGCGGCGCTTTTTAATGAAAATAAATATACTGATATTTTTTTATATACAATTGATTATTTCAAATAAATTTCAGTGTAATGTAATATAATGTATGTATCATTATCTTACTCCTTATTTAACAAAAACTTACCTTGAATTAATTTTAAATAAATTCTAAAATATTAATATACTTTATTTAAATCCATAAATAAATCATTTTGGTTAATATATATATAATTATATATACTTACAAATATTACATATACAATATATATACAAATATTATTTAAATCCATGGCTGAATTGTTATATGATATTCAATTTGTCTACTTACCTATTATTATTCATAGGAGCGAATCAAAATATATTCTTATAAAATTTCAAATTAAAAATTTGAATGTGTTCATAAATTTATAAATAATTAACATATAAATTTGCTTATTTTCATATGTACAAAAAAATCACTAATGACACTTGAATCAATTTAAAATTCATAGATCAATTAAAGTATCAATTGAAAAATCTTTGTGTTTATTTCATTTGAATTCAATCTTTTTTATTCTGGTATAAAATTATTAAATAAAAAAAATAATAGTAGATATAGTTCAATATCTATATTTTTATCATACTAATACCATTATGAATCTTAAATCTCTTCACTAAAAAGTCATATAACTATTGTACTTTTTTTTATATTACTATTACATATTATATTATTATATTTATATATATAATTATATATTAGATACTTTTTTTTATTTACTATTTGTTTGAATTAAATTATTTCGATTATTATTTTTTATTGTACGATTTAATTTTATATGAAAATTATTTAATTAAAATTTTTATTTTAATCAAATATTTAAATATGTATTATTTCATCAAACTCTAAACTTGACTGTGCGACACGACAATGTATTACTGAAATAGTGTTGTTAACAATTGAATGTTGGTCGTGGGTGTTAAAAAAAGAGATTTGAAAAAAGAGAAAGAAGAAATAAATAAAATCGAATGTTATATTTATGTGTATTAAATGTAAGAATGCGAAAAATCAATAATCTTTTTATTTCTAAGATAGTGTTGCTTTGTTTTGAGCTCAGATTGTTCATAACAATTCGTGTAACATATATTAAAGATAAAAGTATAAAAAAATTAGTAATTTGTAATTTGTAATTTAATTAGTAATTTGTATATTCATTCGAACATGCATAAAAAAAGCAATGTATATGTATGCATTTTTTATGGATATGTGATATTAATGTGTAATATTGATTCATATTATTAATAAATAATATCCAAATCGACTATTATTTCTCCCTTATATAAGAATAAAAAATATCGAATGCAAATGAAATAAAGATGAAAATTTGTAATTTGATTGAATATTTAATAATCTGATATTCAAATTTTAACACGACATAATTCAAGTATCATTATTACTTCGATTTTCTTGTACATGTGAAAATAGTTAAAAAAACTGTACATATAAAAACACAATTTTTCTAATCCGAAATTTTATAGAAATATGTTTTGATTTGCTTCTATGGATTTCGATAAGTACATTAAATGAAATACAACGATTCATCAATGATTTTAAATGAAATAATTTGTAATTTGTAATCGTAATAATTTCAAATTAGGATTAGTAGAATTTATCGAGCTAAGTTTTTATTAAACAACAAATTATATAAATTATATAAATTTCAATTTGCATAATTTTTTTTAAATAATATAAAAACATTGCATAGTTACATTATACGATATTAATGTACACTGTATATTATCTTATACTGAAATTATCTTATACGAAAAATATTTGAAATAATTAATTGTATATAAAGAAATCAGTGTATTTATTTTCATTCCTCTACACAAGCAACATTGCAATACGATATTATCGTGCACAGCTAAGCATTCTCTTTCACCATTTCATTCTATTTAATACGAACTTAAAATGCTTATAATTAACTAAGCCTCATCATATATGTGTATAAACTTTTTTCATCGTTTTGTATGTTGAGAATCCACCCTTCACATTTTTATATTTTATAAATACCCTATATTTATATTTATAAAATATAAAATATATTATATAAAATATTATAAAATATAAAATATATTATATAAAATATTATAAAATATAAAATATATTATATAAAATATTATAAAATATAAAATATATTATATAAAATATTATAAAATATAAAATATATTATATAAATATATTATAAAATATATTATATTTATAAAATATAAATTGTAAATTTATAAATAAGTAAATTACATATATATAATGTACAATTTTTTTATATAGATAAAATTTTACTGCATAATATTTTTGAAAAAAATAGTTTTATAAAAAGTTTATAAAAAGTATGTATCTTTTTATATTTGCAAGTTTCAAGTTAAAAGTTCAAGTTTTTTAAATTATAAATAAGAATAGATTTTTTATTTTTTAAAAATATAATAGGAATACATTGATACATAATATTTTATCATTAAAGTATCATTAAAAATTTTGATATCAACTATCAATTATACAATTAGCGATTATACAAATAAATTGTAAATAATATTAATGTAATAAGAACATCATTCCAGTATTCCAAAATTTGCTTTAATTTATCTATATAAATTATCTAATTTATTTTTGTTTATAAATAATATATTGAATTCATATTATTTACAAAATTTATTAAATTTCATAATTTTAATTAAGACGAATTTTATAAAGTATAAAAATACATATTTCAAAAACATTTAAATATAAAAAACAAATAGATATTTTTATTTTCTTTAAAAAAGAGTAATAATGATTTTAATTATTTTATATTCATTATTACAATAAAATATACGCATAATCTATATTGACTATATATGTAATATACAATAATTACATATATTTCGATTGACAAACATATGTGAACAATAAGTTAATTGTACGAATCAAAAATTGAAGACATTCATAAAAATTAAATATTAATGATTATTAAAATTAAATTAGATTAAAATTTAATATTAAAATTAAATATTAAAATTAAATATAAAGATTCGAATTAGATGCATACATCATTTGAAATTATTGTTAACATTTAATATTAATATAAAAATTTCGCAATTCAAATGGCGATATCAAATGTTACATACTTCAGATTAAACAGGATTTTAGATAATAGATTTAACACTTATAACAATTGTAATAAAAAAGTATATTTTTAATATCAAAAAATATTTTAAATTAACGAAATTTTTCTTATTTTCTTTTATAAAAGGAAAATGTCATTATTTTAATAATTTTTATATGTTCTATCATTTTATATAAAAAAAAAATAATATATATATATATATATATATATATATATATATATATA